AGCCCATGTATGCCGTTTGCAGTGTGATCGAGCTCGAGGGCATGAGATCTCGATGACCATCTCAAGGCTAACTCGTGAAACAACCGCGTGTGATATGGAGATGTGCATGTATTGTGTGCCCGGGTCGTTAAGTCGCGCGGCCCCGGAGCCGATCTCCCTCCCTCCCTCCCCTCCCCCCGCCTCAATACATCTCGGGCCGTTTGCATCTCCATCTCGATGTCGCCAAGTAATCATTCCCCATACTCAACCCACGACGGCGGATGTCTACGTCATAAGGCCGTTGTGCAATTTGAGCCTCATGACTGCAGTTGCCTTAATCCCAACATCACTGCACGAAAGTTCAGACGTTCAGCTATGTCTCCAGTATACGCTGATACCCCTAAGCAGGAAGGAGGGTTTTGTTTGTGGGATTCATCGCATAGATTGACGCTGAGGCGGTCCTGCTCAACCTAATATTCAAGACGACACAATAAGGCGTTTTCATCGGTGTGCCAACACTATCACGAGGCTGATGTGAGGAAAAGGCATAGGACAGAACCCCGTGTTACGGCGGACTTTTCTAGTTGTACAAAAATCGATACATTCAGAGTTTCGCACCAGCGTGCCCCTCTGTCTTCGCCTTCTTTATCTTGAAGCCATGACGAGGCGCATGCACTCTGGTCTTCGCACCCTGCTGGCCCTCCACTGTAAAGACAACCTTGGTCTTGTCGAGGGCCACCAGCGTGCCGGCGTCCTTGTGCGTCGACCCCGTGTCGGTAGGCCACACCACAACGCGGTCTCCCGCCTTCAGCCCCTCGCGGACCGCCACCGGATCGCTCGCATCAACGTCGCCGGCGCCCGCCGTCGCCGCGGCCGCGATCCGTTTCGCCGCCTCCTCGCCAGAAACCTTGGGCGTCTTGGGGGCGCGCTTCTTCGCCGCCGCGACGGCCGCCTGGAAGCGCGCGATCCACGCGTGGACCCGGGGGTAGCGCGCCTCGCCGAAGCGTTCGGGGCGTCAGCGCGCCGGGAAGCTCGTAGAGCCAGTGGAAACGGCCAAAACGGCCCTCAATGGTCTGCCAGGGTCGGGCCGGCGCCAGGGACCGAAGAACCCACGCCCCGGCCCGTCCGTAAGGAGGTATGTTCTTCCTAGAATTCGAAGTGGCGTGGCGATCCTCGGCTTTCGGGGGAGAATAATGCCCGGGGGCTTTGTTCTTGCGAACCGGTTTTCTCGTCTGGGGGG